AAGTGGGCCAGAGGATGCCCCTTCTTTTCCCCCACCCTAACTGTGGAGCACCTCACCCCAACTAGCCCCTGCCCTGTGGCTAGGCACCGGATTCGGCATCATGGCTCACTCAGACCCACTGTTTGAGGGAGAAAGTACCTTGTTAAAATATAAAGAAAGGGAGAAAGGAGTAGGGATTACAGAAAAAAGGCAAATAGAGAGCAGCAAGGAAGTACAACGTACAGAATCTCAGATGATCCCACACCTGCAAACTCATATCACACCTCTCAAGCACTACAACAACACAGCTAGCCCTCCTCTAATCTTTACCAACACGTAGCTGTCCGATGATGGAGCTTCAGTCTTGGGCCCAGGGTTCAAGTCCTCATACCAGATCAGCACCTGACAGGGGACATATGATCTTCCTTCATTTTTTACCCCCCCTCCCCAAGTTGGGGGGGGGGTGATATCAGCTGCCAGTCCAAAGGACAACTTTCCCACCTGTTAGCTGTCACACCGAGATTGTCCAGAGCTGGCAGTTCCCTCTTTCGGCGTCCTTCAGTCTGGCTGAAGAGATAGCATAAGATGGAAACATCCCCGCTAACCTTAGCAGTAAAAAATCCATGATTATATAAATCACTCCTTGGAGAAAGCAATTTAAATTCCCATCCCATTAGGGTCTGACTTCAGCTCTTTCCAGGTATCTGTTACAAAGGGCATTTTGTGCAAAGCTGTATTGGACCTGAACATCCCATGGCGGCTTCTTCAGTGAAGTATCTTCAGGGCCTGGCATGATTCCAACCTAGCTGGATTCTTCATAGGCTTCTTGGTCCAGCTAAGCCACGTTTGAGCAACGCAGCCTCGATTGTGCAATCTGTATGGGGCTCATGAGGGGAGAGAGCAGGGGGAAATTTGACAGTTGTGGGGAGATCAGGGCACCTGTGAGGGCTGCAGGAGAGACCCTGGAGGACTGCATGCATCCCACAGGTTGTGCCACCCTGATTGAAACGTGTGCTGCCTGCTTAGACTCTCACCAGCCACAGAGAGAAAATAACTTATTGCCACTTATTGCAAGGAGAAGCTGGTTATGAAAGGGTAGCATAGAGCAACACAATAAAAGCAGAAAAAGCTATGGGGGCGGGGCTGGATGAATGCCCTTGGGCAAGTTCAGCTGGTGGCAGTGGCAAGGTCTGGCAGGCTGCCTGTTACTTATACATCCCCAAATGCCCTGGAGGTAATGTGGAGCATTATAGGAAATGTTAAAGAATGGATGGCTCTCTACAGCCAGCCACTCAGAAGGTCTGCAGATGAGTGAGCAGGCCAGGACCTACCAAGCTACCTGAAGTAGCCCAGTGCTGACAGTCCCCTGCAAATGTTGTGTGTTTATGTATGCTGTGCTTCATGTCAGAGGTGCAGGTGGCTGGCCTACAGTAGAGGAGAAAGCCAAACTGTGCCTACATTCAGGAGCCTGTAAGAAGCCTTCCCCAACCTTCCCAATATATAATCATTATTATATATGATAATATAATATTATTTTTAATAGATTTAAAAGCAACAAGAACTGCCACTACTACTATTCTATAGTGCCTGAAGAATAAGGAGGACACCTGGTACTAAAAAGGATCATAATGGGGGTGCCAGGTTAGCCTCTCTGGGGGGGGGGAGGGGAGATTGCATAACCAGGGTGCCCCAACTGAAAAGGCCTTATCAGTAACACCTGCCTCTCCACAGTTGGCAAGGCTACTTGGAAGGTTTCTAGAAGTTATCTTAGCATCTGGGCACAAGTATGTGGGACAATATAATTCTTCAGGTAACCTGAACCAAGTGTTTTAGGGCTTAGAAAGTTAATATCAACACTTTGAACTGGGCCAGGGAACAGACTGGAAGCAAGTACCAATTGTTTTCAAAGGCATCTCTTCCTGTAATGCATTGATTACAGTCCAGCAGCAAATCTGCAGGTCACCAGTTGGGAAGAGTTATTGTCAAAGCAATCCTGCTTCTTTGATGACAACCCCATATCTGTTTTGGAAAATGGGTATCATAGTGGGAATGAAAGCAATCCCCCTAACAAAAATCTGCCTCTTTTTCAAATGCTTGGAAATGCTGCAATTCTGGATCAGTTACATTGACCATGGAACTGGGTGTTTCACTGGGGCAGAATTTGTGAGAATTTATTTTCTAGGAGGGCTTGCTAAGCTGCTTTTCTGCTCCCATCTCCCTCATGACTGGAGTTGCTGCTTTTGCGTTGTGAAGAAGCCTCACATTCTGTGCTAAACAACTCCCTCTCTTACTTTTTCTTCATGCAAACGCAATTATGCAAATCAATACAACATGTTTGCAAACGGGCTTAATTTGCATCATCATTGCTCAGTTTGTTCAGTTCCAGATTGTTGCTGAGAGTTTCCCCCCCTTCTTTTTGCTATATATGGAGAAATTGGGAGCAGCGCAGTGTAGTGACAGAAGGAGAAGGAGAAATGTGTGAGTGTCGAGCTGGCCATATGGGAAAGTAAGGTAGCTATGGGGATGTATACAGAAAAGTTTCCTAACACCGCATCCTTTTGCAATTTGTCTCAGTCCAGCAAACACAATCTGTGAGTGGAAATTGGGGTTTGATGCACAAATCAGCTGCAGAAATGACAACTCAGTGCAACCAGTCATTCAGATTTAGCCCCATAGATTACCCCCATAGCCAGTGGGGTGGTGGGGCCAGGGCCTCAGGGGCACAGTGCTGGCACTCTTTTTTAATTAACAGGGACAAGGGCATCATCTGTCACCCTGCCAGAATTCCATTTCCTCTAATGCATTTTCCAGCAACAATATACGGTTCCCTCCTGTAACGGGAAGGATCTTACGCCGAGTGCGTCCTGAACAGGCAATTAAGTTCTATTAGGAGGTGAAAACTCCTTTAGTTGGTTTGTAGATATGGATCAGCACAACTGCTTGGATTTTGGCACTCCTCTTGGAGATGAGGCTTTGTGGAATGACCTAATGAGGCCCCAGTCATCAAAATTTACTCATCCATGGCAGCCACAGGACATCCAGTACATCTAAAGGGCACGAGTCAGGCAAGTTTAAGGCAAGTTCCTTTATGTTTTAAGTGTCTGTTAACCTGGAAGGCTGGACATGTGGAAATGTACAACCAGCAAGAATTACACAGGAGGTCCTCAGGAACCCTGTTCCTGCTCTTAGTCTGCCTTTGGCACCTTAACTTCTGAATGGGACGGAAAGCCACCTTGCCTTTATTTCATGCCATAGAACTTTTGGTATCCTGCATTCATTTTCTGAACCACAGTTTTTGAAAACCTAGTTTAAAAGAAAGCAGCAGCTAGCTACAGTGTGCTAAGTGTATGGAAGCTAAATCTTTAGCCTGAGCTTAATCAAGCCATGGAGGGTGGGGGTGAGGGCAGAATGAGAAAAGGTAAGAAAGGGATATGGCTGTGATCAGCCATAACAATAAATGATGGTTTCTCATTGCAAGAAGGAGCTTCTGCAAGCCTTGGGCTCACCTGCTTCCCCTTCAAGTACTGCTTCAACAAGTAGAGCAGGATCTTTCCCCTTCATTTACAATTAGCTGCAAAATAGTATCACATCCAAAACCTGCACTGTGTAATCGTAACTATGGTTTATTGAAATGAGCGGCTGAGTAGATTATCCAAAGCAAGAAAAGCAGCAGCAACTGAAAAAGTGTAGGCAGGCAAGCTGATGAGTTGGGGGAAAGACAGGCTGTGTAAATGGGGTTGGAAGAGGCAGGTCCATGTTAATAGTTGGAAAGTTTTAGGTATTTATATTTTAATATTGTATTGCTGCTGCTATACTGTGAGGTAATTTGTATAGAGGTATTGCTGTTTGTATTTTTAAGGGAGATTTTTTAGAGTCTTGTGTTTTATCTGGATATTGTACTTGGGGTTTTAATGTCTGTAAACCACCCAGAGAGCCCTCTGGGCTATTGGGGTGGTATATAAATGCAATAAATAAATAAATGTTAGGTATCCAGTGGAGAGGTGGGAAAGGTGATAGTTGTGAGAGCACTGCGATTTTAATTTCCCCTTTCCCTCTGCAATATCTGGCAAGCCCATCTAGTCCTCTGCACATACCCTTAATCTATTGCAGAAATTGCACATAACAGTCTTCCAGTTTTTCTGCAATGAGGACTAAATATTAGTCCTTTTTTTAAAGTGGAGGAAAAAAGCTAAGATTTTCAGCAATTTGAAGAATCTTAATAATGTACAGATGAAATTATGTGCAAATGTGGATGAGCTAAGAAATGCTTTATTCTACAAATAATCATCTACCATGCCTTCAGCAACAATAATGAACATCCAATATCCAAATTCAGCTTTGGCGTACAAACTGAAGACCACCAATTTTGAATTGTATTCATTGTTTTGTGTTCATGTCAATAACTTGATGGATACAAGGGCTTCCTGGGATGCTTCCAGATGAGGATTTTATGGCACCGTTGCCCATTTCATTCCTGGAAGTTTATGGGGGGGAGGGGCAGACATCATCTTCTATTCTGGCCCCTCTTGTGTTTTCTTACCACTTCCTCTGGCCTTTTCCTTAGCTCAGAAAATCTGCTAAGGAGAAAAAAATAGAGAAATGAACAAAACATCCTGATTGCTAGTGCTAGGACCGCTTCATCTGGAAGCACCCAGTCTGTCGTCATTCTTTGGTGCAAGTTCCTGATTCTTTTATACAGTGTGTACGGCCTCAGGTGAAATCCAACCTCTGAGGAACCCCACCAAAGCTACACCCTTTCTTCATCCATTGGTCATTTGGTGGTTTCCTGGCCTTTCCCCCATTCTATGAGGATGAAGGGCCTCTCCTTGTGTACTTTTGATATCTTGACCACACCTCTTTTGCTTTGATCCTGCCTAGAAGAATTTCTCCAAAATGGAATTTGACCCGTGGACTAAGAACGTTCTTGCATCCCTGCTCTTAGCTTTTCCTTCTAGGAAGTTTGTAAGGCTGCTGCACTACTGGTTAGTCAACCTGTCCGCCTGTGTTTCCTCTTCTAACAGCCAAGCCTCTGAATGTGATGCTGCGCAGGTTAAGGCAAGTTGCTGACCGAAAGGTGCATCCGTGATGCTTCCTTGGCATCCAGAGGGGACATCAGCAAGAGAGGCAGCCTTCCCAGGAATGGGTAGTCATGAGAGAGATCCCTCTTCTCCCAAAAGGGTACCACCCCCATCCCGGTCCAACAGCACTGTATCATCTAGGCACAGCATTGTTCGGCAGGTATGATTTCTTCCCACTGGCTAACCAATCCCCACACATCTTTGTAGGGTGGCTGGGAGCCCTGCTTTACACAGGGCACTCCTCTGTTTGAAGGCATCCTCAGAGGCCATGAAGTTGACCAGGAGCAATTAGCTTCTGGGCAATGGATTGAGCAGGCACATAAGTCAACTAGATACAGCCTTCCTCATTATTGTGAAATGTATTGTATTTCTCTTTAAATTATGGTCATTAATTCTAAATTTGCCTTTGTGCACACACTGTGGTGTGCAAATGTTATGCAATTTGGTGTTCTCTTAGTGACATGTTTGCTGTGCAGGTGCATCCGTGACGCATGTGTTGTGTGGGCCTTTGTGATCAGAGGGTGGTATGACATAAAGTCAGACCCATCTTTCCCAATCTGGTGTCCCCCCAGATGTTCTAATCCATAGCTTCCATCATCCCCAGTCAGCATGGCTGGTGGGCAGGAGGTGGGAGTTATAGTCCGAAACATCTGGAGAGCCACAGTTTGACAAAGGTGGTCTTGGCATTAATGAATAGGTACATTGTTTTAGTGGTCCTTTGGAGCCACAGCCTAAAGCTTCAGCGAGAGTTTTTTCACTTTGGGTGAAAACAGTCTTCCCCTTATTGCTAATGCTTTTGTCTGTACAGATGTTTTCCTTTCTGTGTGCTCTCAGAGTTCAGAAAGCTGGGAGGTGGTGGATGAGCTGCGGATCCAAAGCGGGGTCATCCAGGAGCCTGAGAGGCAAGAGGGCTACTTGCTAAAGAAGCGAAAATGGCCCCTGAAGGGCTGGCACAAGGTGAGGGCTCTGGGTTTGCAGGCTTACCAGTGGAATGGCTGGCCCTCTGTGGTTGCTCTGCTTTGAGGGGACCCCCTGCGCTGCCAGACCGCCAAATCCATTTCAGGGGCTTGAGGATGCTCTCAAACAGTTCCTTTTCCTCTGAGAAACAAGTGCACCCTCCAATACACAGTTCTATGGCCAAACAATTCATCCTAAATTAATGATAAATCATGTTGAACCTAAAAGTCATTGTTCGTGGCTAATCATCACATCATTTCCCCCTCTTTTAAAATATAATTGTTCAGCTGTTTTAGTCTCTTCCTGCAGGATGTCTCAAAAGTCACCATACATAGGGAAAATGGGAAAATATAGCAAAATGTACCTTTATTTACAAAATAAACATTGCAGAATCTTACAAAATATTTAAAAATATTCTCTGCATGTTGGCCACCTCTTTCAGCAAACATGAAGTCTCCTCTTATAAAGTTTTCTTCTTATTATATTATTAAATATTATATTTTTTCCTATGTATGGTGACTTTTGGATGCCCTGTGGATGTGTTTATCAGTTGAAAGAGTACAGAGTAAGCTAGAACAAACTCAGTTCAATGTTCTCTGCAACTGTGAACTTGTTATGTGGCCTTCGACAATCCACTGTCTCCCTTCCTGCAGTATGCAAACATAGGCATGATAATAATGCTGAGCTACCTCAAAGAGTTCCTGTAAGGATTTTCATTCTCTCCCTTTCTGACATTTGAGCCCATACTTGTCTAGCCAAATGGCACCACCCAGGAACAAGAGGGAGAGCGTCAGTGTTTAACCTCAGCAGAGCCTTGACATCTGCAGAAGTTAAAATCTTTGCGGGCGGGAGAGGTAAGAGCAAAAACTGCTCGGAACAGTCCAATGAAGACTGGGTGAGTTCAATGGCCACAAAATGCAGATGGATTATTGGAAGGCTGAGAGAGAGAATGGACTGATGCATTCTGGGAGATGGTGTGGCTGGTTGGTTCAGACCCCGAAAGGGAGCAATTCAGGCTGCAGCATTTTCTTCCTGATCCACCTTGGACAATTAATAACAGCAGTTATGACAATGACAACTACAATGAAGATGAATCACTTACTAGACCATATTTCCACCCTCTCACGCTAGTAGACTCTTTAGAACAGCCTTCCCCACCTGGACCCTCCAGCTGTGTTCAGCTCTAACTCCCAGCATGGCTGGCTGAGGCATGTTGGGAGTTGCATGCCACTGTTTTCGAGGTTCTTCTACCACCTTTTACGATCACACACATGTATGATCACACCATGATTGTTCAGGAGAGCAAGCAATCCTAAGGCCTGGCCAGTGAACTTTGTATGAATCCCTGGGATGGATCCCTGCAGCAGATGCCCTGCTTGCTTGAATTGATTTAGACAAGCCAATTATTCTTGGGTATTAGTGACTTCTTCCTTTTGTCCCTTTCTTATAGCGTTATTTTGTTTTGGAAGATGGAATCTTGAAATACGCCACCACACGCCAAGATGTGAGTACAGCAGGAGGGAGAGTTTGGGCGATTTCAGTGTTGTGGGGTTCCCAGGGGTCCAGGAGTTCTAGTGGTCAAGGGGGGGGCAATTGGGAAACACCGATTAATAGGTCATAGTTAAAAGGGAGGGGCGGTATTCCATTCCCCAGCTTGACTCTGTCTGTGGCTCCTTCCTGCCAGGTCTTGAAAGGGAAGCTGCATGGTTCCATTGATGTCCGCTTGTCGGTCATGTCAGTCAACAAGAAGGCCCAGCGTGTGGACCTGGACACTGAGGAGAATATTTATCATCTCAAGGTAGTGGGTGCAAAGAGGCACCTCTCTCAGGTTGGGAGGGGGATGGGATGAGCCAGGAGCCTTAACAAAATGCAGTTTGAAATGTGGAAAGGGGGAAAGCTCAGGGGAGACTGGAGTACAAATGTGGGTTCATTGGCACCTTAGGCATCCTATGATTTCAGCCCTCAGTCCCTCCAGCCTGGGAAATACAAGAGCTTAGCTGCTGCGAGGAAGCATACGGCGAAAGTCCAGGAAAGGATCCAGAAAATGTTAGCAGAAAGCAGGTTTCTGTTTGCTTACATGCTGTGCTGTTTGCAAGAAATGTTGCTGAGCCTCGGAAATGAGAAAATGCTTTCCGGAGTAGTCATGCGGGCAATAATCCTTCTATTATCTGACAGGAGGAGGTCCCCATGCATTCGCTAGTCTGAAATCTTACGCAGTGAGCACCGCTTAGCCACATGAATGCAATTGTCTGTAGCTTCCTCGCTCAGGCCAAGATGTGTGAAGACCCGCTTCTGCCATTTGTTTGCCTGGCGAGGAGTTGTTGACCTGTGCTTTAGCGCTCAGGAATCAAATTGCAAGCAAGCCACAAAGACAAGGGGCCCATTCATGGGAGGAATGTGACAAGTGTGAAAAAAGCTGCCTCCCCGCCCATGGTAGGTCAGTGTATACCCATTGCTGTGTTGAGGATCTGGCTTTAGCGCATGTTTTTGTGACATTTCCCCCAAAAGGTGGAAAGCTGGATCTGTATATGTGACATACATGCTTGCCAAAGGCTGGGGGCCCTCACTTGGGGGCTTTCGTGTTGTCTTTCTGGCTTCCACTGTGAACCAGAAGGCTTTGTAAAGAGACCTTGGACAACACTAGAACAGTCCTTACCTGAGTTGTCCTCTTCACCTTTCTGTTTTTAAAAGGCTTTAATCTGCAGCAAGAAGGACTAACAAATGCCTCCTCCCCTTCTTGACTGTAAAAACTCAGATTCTCTTATTCAGATGCAGTCATTGAACATAGGTTGGCAGGGCATATTTGATAAATTCATTGCCAAGGTTTAACTGTGAGTATCTGCTGAGTTCAAATCCCTACCTGCTTTTGGAGGTGAGCCTATGAATCCATTTCAAGAACTTTAGAATCTGACCAGCAGAGGGCAGAAAAAATACTTCTGGTTTCAAATATCAGTGCCAATTGTTATTTTTTTTTTGGTGGGGAGGCAGTTCATTCTCCAACCTGGCAGGGCCTGCCCTACCATTAGGCAAAACAGGGCAGCCTTCTGGCACAACCAGGAAGCTGATTTTGAGGGTCATGAAAGAACAGCGGTGCTTGAATATTGAATCTGTTTTGCCTGTATTTTTACTGCCGAGGAGAGGCACTCATGGGATTTTCTGCCTCTGGTGCCTCTGGTGTGGTCATGCTACATACAGTGCACTTTGACTTGGGGAGTGGGTGCCATTTGCTCTGCTGGCTAACACAGCAAAATGTCCTGGGCCAGCCCTCTTGCTCTGCCCCAGTTTGTGCTTTTAATGTTCTGATGTCCCCTCTCCACACTTCATCCACTCTAGATCAAGTCCCAGGAGCTCTTCAATAACTGGGTGGCCAAGCTGTGTTCACACCGCCAAGCCGATACCTCCCACAGGCAGTACCTGACCAGCAGCCATGGCGGGAGAGGCTCCCATCCTGCCCAGGTGAATTAGGGACCTCCTGGTGCTATGTAAGAAGCGGTGGTGGGGCGGCGTTTGGCTGCCTGGCTTTGTCCGTGGCTGCATGTATGCGTGCGTGATGATCTGTGTATGAGCAGAGGGAATGCTGTATTCCAGTCCCTCGTTGGTTCTCTTCATGGAGAGGGGGGCGGGGGGGGGGGAGATACTATTTTGGAGACGTTCCCAGGGGCTACATTCCAGTGGTGTGGGGGCCAGAGGCAAGAGGGGTATCCCCCCCTCCCTGCCCCCATGCCAACCTATTTTGGCTTAATGCTCATACTGCCTGCCATCAAGCCTTAGAAGAAGCATGTCAGCTGTTGAAAATCAGGAGAGAATGGCACTGAAGCCTGGTGGGATAGCCAAGCAATCGGCAGTTGGTGGAAAGCGGGTGAGGCCAAGGTCAGGAGGCATCCTGGAAAACTAGATTTGGTCCTGAGCACCCCTCTCCTAGCAGGATGAGACATGCCCAGCTGTTGCAGAAGGCACTTCCTTTATTAAATATGGGCCAGAGTGAGCCTCTGCAATTCCTGTGGATTTGATTAATCCAGTCACTATAGACATCTGACATTTTCTGCTGGTAAATTGGGCGGGCTGCCTGTACAAGAGCATCACTAATCCCACTGAAATGTGTATTCCCAGACACCACTGTTTATGGGACATTTTGTAAGTCAGAGGCTAAGTTATACCATGGCAGGGCCCAATAGCAACTGCCATGTTTTATACAGTCACTTCCAGGAGAAGCAGAGTCTTCCTGCTGAATAAAAGGCCAAAATTCCTGGCTGGATCTCTGGTGATCCTAATGCACCATTCGAGTTTTCTAGAATTAACCCTACAGTTGAGATGGAAAGCAAAGAATGGCCATTAGCTGCCCCATCCTCTTCCTTTCCCCTTCCTCAGAATGTCTCCGAGCCCCACATGGGAAAGGAAAGGCAGGGAAGGGTGGCCTGGTATGTCTGGAGGCCAGTATTTGGCTTTCCAGTGCAGCCAGCCAATTCAAACCATCTTTTGGAGAAAATTGAACATCGAAAGTAATCCCACTGCTGATTGGTAAGCTTTGGGGGATTAGGAAGGAGGCAGTGAGAAACAACCAGAAAGGGAGGAGAGGTTGTTTTATATACTCCTCTAAGCATCACCACTGAAATGGATTTTGCATTGTGCCTTGTGGGTATGCAATGTGATGGTATCTGGGGCTCAGCTCCACTCACTGTCTTATCGTTCATCACCAAACAGGTCCCCTTTGCAACCACTTTGTGTGCAGCTGGGACCTCATGGCTCCCAGTCTGTGGAGTACTCCTGACAGTTTCCTCAGGTTTCCAAATGTGCCTACAGGCCCAAAAAATTGGGTACCCCCTTCTGTAGCCTATGAAAGGGGCTGAACAACTGGAATTCTAGCTTCTGCCTTGTCTCCCGCCAGCAGGCTTGCAGCTCACGGCACCGCATTCTGACATCTGAAAGTGCCCCTGCCTTGTCTTCATTGGCCGGTCCTCGAGATAAGGTGAACTCTTGGCTCAGTGACAGCAAGGGCCTGGATAGGTGCTCAGCAGGTGAGAGGGCATTTTCTTACCACTTGCTGCTCCTCCTCCCCCCTCGCCAGTTCTGTCCTCCAGACCTGCTTGCCAGCCCCTGCTCTTCCTGGATCACTATCCCTTCATTCTGTCTGCACCTGCTGTGACCCGTTAACCCTTTCCTCCTCCCATTATTTCCATTTTCCTTTTATCTAGTGACAGGGCAGAACTTGTCTCTCTTCTCTCACTAGAAGCACTCCCCAGGCTAGGGGTGAGGTGAAGGTGTTGTAGATACAGGGGGTGTGGGGAAGGAATGGTGACTCTTTACAACTCAGGACACGGCCATCTGGGGAACTCCAAGGGTTGGCTGTCAGGCCCTGAGGTTCAGCACCTCTGCTTTAGAGCTTAGCTGGGGTTAAGGGTTTGAACCGTGGTTTTCTGACTTGGTTCTGAGTCTCATTATGTATGGTCCTGTCTGCCCATAAGTTTTGACAGGCAGGATGGTGGCCAGTGATCAGTTCCTATCTTCTCAGGCTTTGTTGAACCTGGCCAAAGAACAGGCTTGGTTCCAAACTATGCTTGTAGTCCAAATCCATCCATCCATCATTTTATTTATTTATTTATTTATTTATTTATTTATTAAAACATTTTTATGCCGCCCCATTCGCTGAAGCTTCGGGGCAGCTTACAACACTACAATCATCCATCCATCCCATTCTTCTAGAGCAGATGGTTTGAACTATGACTTGCATATTCTCTGGCTTTCAGAGGTTTAAATCCAGAAGATCTCTGGAGGCCACCAGCTTGCTCTGTAGAGATCCCTCTGTGTAGTTTGTGTTCTCTTCCAAATGCAGATTGATCAGACAATTGACATCCTTATCAAGCAGGAAAACCTGCCTCCTGACTTCCTAGTGTGTTCCTATTGTGATTTGTTGAAGGCATCACCTATGCAGCTGCCATCACCGTTCCCTACCTCTTCTGATAATGTTTGGTTCCTTTTTTCTCCAGAACTCTCAGAATGTCAGGGAAAGCTTCAGGAGCTGAACCGCATGCTACAGAGTTTGGAATCTCTGCATCGCATTCCTTCTGCCCCTCTTATCTCTAATCAGGTATGAACTTGGGGGTGGGCAAGGTTCCCTCTGCACAAAGATTCCTGATTCATATGTTATGGGAAGGTCATTGTTTCCACTGGCTTTCTGGATCTCTTGCACAGCCTCAGCCCTCACTGGTTAGGCTGCTTTGCATGGGTTTGTACCACTCTTGTAACAACTGCCAGACTGCAGAATTCCCGCTCTGTACTTGAATGCAAAATAGGCCTTCGGTAGCTCAGGTCGCAGATTATTTCTTGGTTTTACAGACCTCGGCAGGTACAGAGAGACCAAGAAAGGGGAAGAGGTCTACTCGGATATGGTGCACTCAGAGTTTCGCAAAGGATGACACCATTGGCAGGGTGAGCTGGTTTGGGTTTGGTGGTGTGTGTCCTGACATGGGGCAGGATGAGACCCTGTTTTGCATTGTCATGGTGTTGAGCACAGAATGCCATTTTAAGCAAGGTGGAGGAAGCAAGGATGTGATGGGGCCTCGGTTGGGTGTCTGAACTCAGGTGTTTGGCTCCTACAGGTGGGGCGCCTGCATGGCTCTGTACCCAACCTCTCGAGATATTTGGAATCCTGTCAGAACCAAGCCATTTTTAGTGTCCCTCCAGAATACAGCCAGCTGCAGAGAAGTTTCTGGATCTTAGCTCAGAAAGGTGAGCTTGTGGCGACTTTTAGTTGGCTGTTTAGACCTGCAAAACTGTGTCTTTTACCTGTATTTCTTTCTTCTATGGGCAGAGTGAAAAACCCTCTTTTCCATCTCTTTCCAGAAAGAAAGTGCCGTTAGAATGAAATATTGTTTTATGAATCTCTGTCCTTGTTTGTTTTTTATACATTCCCCATTTCCAGAGCCATGTGTACTCTTTACAAGGATAAATCACTGTTTTATGGCCTTGTAATCCAAATTATCTTTCAAGGAAAGTTAGACTTTGTGACCTCTAAAGGTGTGTATGGGATGGGGGAAGGGAAATCGAAGTCCGGTCCCCTGATTCTTCTCTCTTTCACGCACTGTTCCACTCCATTTCTTGAAACGGGCATTGCCTATTTTCAGTCATGGAGGCTTATATTATTATTATTTTGATTTGCATGCTACTACACTAGCCCACATCTGAGCTCTCTGTGTGGCTCACAGCCCTTGGCTTCTTTCTTAATAAAGCTGGATTTCTAATGGTTCTGGGACCCTTGCCCAGTAGCAGATTCCTGGGAATACTGGAATATGTCTTCTGCTTGTGTCTTGCATCCGCCAGTTCACGAGTCCCTCAGCAGCGTGTTAGCCGTGCTAGCTGCGGAGCGAGACCGTCTGCAGGAACTGCAGCAAACGCTGGACCCACAGCGTCCCGCTACACTTTCTGCCCAGGGTGGCCATGGGGGCAGCATCAGAACTTCAGCAGCTGGGGTAAGGGACTGCTTTCCTCTGCCAGAATTTCCAGTGTCTGGTTTCAGTTTCTGGCTTGGCGTAGCAACTTCCATTTTGCAGTGCCGGAGGCTCTTGGAGCATCACCATAAGGTTGTGCTATGGGAATGGTGTGGATGCAGCCAGCTCTCCTCCATGCAGTGCTCTCAGCTCAAAGGAAGTGCCTGTCTGGTTGTCCTATATGATGGTACCTCGCCTTTTGGAAGGGGAGCATTGCCCAGTTGTGATCTATGAAGCCCTGTTCTGCCACTGAAGAATGCAAGGGGAGTCCTGCTGGATCAGGCCAGGGGTCCACCCAGTCCAGCTTCCTGTTTTCCCAGTGTCCAACTGGGAACCTCATGAGCAGGGTATCATAACCCCTTGTGGATCCTGTTCACGGGGCAAAGGGCCTCTGATCACGGAAGCAGTCTATATGGCCATCTTGACTAGTAGCTATCGATAGCTGAATCCTCATCTATGTACGTATCTCCACCCTGTCACTGTCTCAAGTACCTGCCTGTCCCCCTCCAGGCTTCTCTGCAGACACTGGACAATCCTGAATGTATCCGCCGCTTCCATTCTCTCTCCATCTCCTCAGACACTACTCTGGACTCCTTTGCCTCATTCAATCCTGATGAAGTAAGTCATTCCTTTAGGACAGACAAGAAATAATACTCTTTGGAGTTTCAGCACAGTGTTTGGACCCTGTGGGATACAGTATAAGTTTAGAATTTTTAATTAAAAATATGTACCTACTCCTTTCACAGTTGTTCAAACTGGTTTCAGTGGATAATTGTAAAAATACAGATAGTGGTACTTAAGTGTTCGAAGTGCTTCCTTACATTGACCTGATAATGCAAGTCAGAATGGTCATCCGTCATCCTACCCTGGAGGCTGGGAGGGAGTTATGTAATAATTAAGCTCATGGTAAAGAATCAAACCTGATTTGTAGTTACGTCTCGTAACCACTGTTACAGCAGCTCAAGAAAATCCAGCATCAAAATGAATAGCCACAGAAGGCTTCCCCTTTAAAAAATAAGCCTTGCAGTGCTTGTGAAAAAGAAGCCTAGAGGTACCTTTCCTAACTTACAGGGAGGAAACCAGCACCTTTCTTACCTCCGTGTGGAGCTGGGATGGGGGACCAGAAGAAAAGAGCGAACAGGTGGGGGGGGGGAACTGTGGGGAGCCAAGTCAGGTGGAGCAAAGGAAAGGTGTTGGCGGAAGCCCCCTGCAAGTGATTGGTTCAGTTCTCTGGCAGGAGCAAGCTATCCTCCTGCCAGCAGCTTGTTCTATGAGGCAGAAGAGGGATGGAGAGGGAGAGAGAAGGAGGGGAGAGAAGGGGCTGGGAGCAAGTCAGGGTGAGAGCAAAGTAGTCCCACCAACTTGGGTTTCTGTCATTCCCAGTCTTGTCCATCACTGGCATGTGAGCCCCACAGATTACCCATAAGGCAGGGCAGCCCTCAGGAAAAAAGATTCCCACCTATGCTCTGCTGGAAGGATGTCCCAGAATTTGGGGGCAGTTTTTATAAAAGCCAGTTGCCAGAGATGGTCAACCTTAGGCCCAAAACCTGGCTCTTCAGGTTTCTCCAGATGGGAATGCCCATTCCCCATCCTCCCCTTCCTTCTCCCCCAAAATTTATTTCCCAGTTTTGTATGTATGTTCCCATCCCCCAATTCTGAATGGTTGAATGCTTCTCTTAGGAGTTAGTTAATAGCAGTAATTGCTTTATAGTGCAGTATGTGCTGTATTTTGGGCCCCTTGCCCTGGTCCAGCAGGGATGGTTGAATTACACAAATCCATGGAAGGCAGGCCTAGCCACGCCGTCCTGCTGAGAGCCAAGTGGAAGCCCCAGGTGCAGAGACAGGGCAATCCAAGGTGCTGAACACCGAGGACAGTCAGGAACTGGCTGTCGCTTTCAGGCCAAGCCTCTCAGCATCCGGCATCGGGTTTGCTGTTGTGCTAGTGCAGCAGATTTAAGCAAAGCTCTTATCGGTTAAGCAAGCCATTCTTAAATGTAGCTCAGTGTGCCACCATGTTGTCCAGCAAATGCCAAAAACTGCTTTTAAGAAAACTGTAGGCTCTGCTGAATGATGCATTTAATTAGGCATGCAAGAGCACCGCTCCTTTTCAAACAGCCGTGATGACAGTTGTGTGTGTGATCTTTTGGCAAACTTTTCTTTCTTTGCCTGACAGCCGGATGCTCTCTTGGTTAAGGATCAGGAGCAGCAGCTGTCCAACTGCAGCATTGTGTCGCTCTCTGATTCACACACGGAGTTCTTTGATGCCTGTGAGGTTTTCCTGTCGGCAAGTTCGTCTGAGAACGAGGTTAGTGGACGTGCTCAATAACAGGATTTGTTGAAGGGTGAGTCATTTTGAGAGGTTGCTTGCCCAGGACGTGTGTGCTTATCACCCCTGTTGGGAAGGAGGCCCCTGTTGTGGGCAGTGGTGTAGTGGAATCAGGGCTTGTGGGATGGAGGCACTGATACTTTCTGGTTAGCAGGAATGATGTCATCTCCTGCCACCTGCTGAGCCTTCCCTGATCCTCCAGGCTTAGCTGCAGACCTCGCCGTAGCTGGAGAGCTGAAGGGTACATTTCCGTAGCCATGATAGATCATTGCAAGCTATCCCTGTTGTGTAACACAAAGTATTTTGCGGTGGTTTGGTCTTGAATGGGCAACTAAGGCCTGACAGGAGAGGAGAACCTCCAAAACAAGTCTGTTGATGTGGATCAACAAGGCTGTCTGAATTTTTGGACTCGAGAGTGTGACCGTGAGTTGAGTGCCTGCACTTCAAAATTTACCACTGCACCGCTCATTATGGGTCATCTCGCAAGCCGCTGTGAGCATCATTCTGGAAGCATGACATAGCAATCCCCTTGATGGTTATTATATTCAGAACAAGTGGGTGACACCCAGTATTTATGGCAGGTCCCATCAGCAGGTGGAAACATGGCTGATGAATGGCAGAATCTTCATGAGTAGAGGTTACTTTCCATTTATTTTTACAGGCTGTTTAGGATAGAGGTGTTGTCACAGTTGAATACCTATTTTGCAAGTTGTAAAGATGGGTGCTGTTTTTTATTTCATGTATTTGAATACCTGGCTGCAGGAACTCAAGTTCAGCTCAGGACAATAGTAGTGTTTGGGTGAAGCACTCGCTCCATCTGCTAGTGCTTCACTCACCAAGTGCAGTCGTGTTGCTTAGTGTAACTCACCGCGCAGCTGTGTTCATATATGTTAAAGCATATGTAGATATAGTCCAGTTGTGTTACATTTGTGCAACAGTGTCAGTAAACAATAGTAATGGTAAATTATTCGATTTATATTTAACCCACAGCATGGGGTACCCACAGAGCCCCAAGTTCACACCCTGTTGTGCAATTTACATCTAAGTATACTTACAATCTAGTCCTTCTAGGACATTTTCAAAATCAGGGCAATAAAACATGTCTCAGACTTTCAGCTTTCTGTCTTTTACAGTTTTCTTTCTTTAAACCAAAACTTGCCTGGGGAACAAAATGCCACCAAATTTGCATGATAATTATTTGATGTAATGCTTTTGGACTCCCAAAAATGTCACAAAAGGAATTTAACTACAGGTTCTCTTACTCTCTTTTATAAGAAAAGAATTTGAGTTAAAACCCCCAGCAAACAAAATTAAAATTCACCGATGGAAAGCTTTTTTATGTTGGTTTGAAGTTTGTACATTAAACTTTTCCTATACAGATTGAAGCTCAATAGGCAAGCATTCTTATACATGGCTGCAGGAAAAATTAAGTCTTACAATACCTGGACTAGCTGAAACCTGCAATGCATTCTACGCTAATTCACACACCCTAGGGGAACCATCCCGTAAAACAAAGGCCTTTCAAATGCAGCCTTTGCCTTGCCTGAAGCACTTTTGTCTGGGGTGACAAAGGCACCCCTAATGCCACTAATGTTAGGTTTATAATTGATGAGGGATGAAGGTAATCCAGAGTTAAACAGTAAGAGATTGTGTTGAGTCTTCCATATCCATGTGACAGTATTACTTACTTATAAGGCTTTTATATCATCACTTCTATTTATTATTTCTTCTTCTTTTCTCTCAACCTTTGTGAATTAGCCAGCAGTAACTCCACTTCCCCCTGCTTAGCAGCTGCTGTCCCACCCCCAACTCTCCCAGTGACCTATCCCCTCATTCCCCATTTACAAGCTTACAAACCTCTTGTTTTCACAATATCCCTGTTTGGCTTACTGTTAGAATTGGAAGGTGCACATTTACCAAGGCGTATAGCTTTTCTGTGATATCTTAGGTCTTTTCTTCGCCACACCAGTATTTCCCCTTTGGACGCCATTCTGGGTGCCTGCTTTACACTCGGGCACCACTGTATCAGATTCCACAGTTCTCTGGAGGGTACAGTTTTGCCATGAGTCTCAAAAGCACAGTATGATGGGAAGGGCGTACTCTTTCTTCCTAGTCCTTCCCTTTGGACATCAGGTCTTGGCTTCCCCTTTCTTAGTACCTCGAACAAGTCCACATCGCAGTCTCCACGGTCCTGTGAACGTGTTGTCATTTTTGATTTTCTGCCTCTGTGCTCTTTCTGTCCAGCCTCCTGCAGAATCGGTCTCCACTTGCCACTAAGCCTCTAGCTTTCATGTCCAATTTGCAGGGTCCATCCATGCCATTTTTCCATTTTCTGTACTGGTCAGGGCCAAAGGGCTCCTCAGCTGACTTTCCTCTTTTGTAAGAGCTGGATTGAGAGAGAGAGTGGAGGCTGTAGTAACTAAATAGATTCTGTGGCAGTGACCACAGCCAGGAGGGGATCTGTGCCGTCCTTAGACTATTTTTTTGAGCATGCCAGGATTTTTTTCCCATCTCCCCTGATCTCACACTGGAAAGATGCATTGGAATTCTCGTGTGCTAAAATCCAAAGGCTTTGCCCTGCCTCAGGGTCCCTTCCCATCCATGCATCCACCTCTGTTTCCTCCCACCTCTCCTCTTCCCTGGTAAGCCACCTCTTCCCTTGGCCTGTGTAACCTCCGGTTGCTCCTCCAGGCGACAGATGATGAGTCCTGCATCAGTGAAGTGACTAACAGCATCTCGGAGGAAACGATGGATCTGGCGGGAGGACCTGGCCGTTGCCACAAAGGTATTTGACCCAGGAAACATGCAGGTGTTTGTATGTGTTTGCAGATGGCTGACCCCTGTTGGAAGTTGGATGCTAGAGTGGCAGGCCTTTGATCTGCTTCAGGAGGCTTCTTTGCATGCTTTTTAGGAAATTGCCTATAAACTGGCAGAATGTGGCTTTTTTGACAAAAGTCCATGGAAGGCCACCTGCATCCACGCCCTGTGCAAATTGGACAGAGGGAGCATCCTGGATGGAGGCAGTGGAGTTCTGGCCCCAAACTTAGCGATCTCTTAAGATTTGATAACAGCTGCTTGCATACCTCCCAACAGGCCCAGCGCCTCTGCACTGTGTCGAGGAGTCTTCCGAGAGGAGCTTCAACCTACCGGCGCCCATGGCTGTGTATCTTCCCGGGCCAGGACCTGGGATCACCCGACGGAACTGCCTCCCAGCCTCTCACGTCCATGCCAGCGACATCAGCGTCTGGAACATTCTTCGCAACAACATTGGCAAGGATCTCTCCAAGGTCTCCATGCCGGTTCAGCTGAACGAGCCCCTCAATACTCTGCAGCGCCTTTGTGAGGAGTTGGAGTACAGTGCCCTGCTGGATGAGGCCAGCTGCAGCACAGACCCCTGTGAAAGACTGGTATTCCCTTTTTCTCACTTCCCTTCCCTGGGCTTTGGTTGTTGCGGCCAGCCAAGAAGGCCTTCGCTGTAATGCCTTTTCTAATACCAGCCTTTGCTTTAAAAAAAAGCCACGTGTACCTTGCCATGCAGGCAGGCACTCTGGGTAGTTGCGGCTTTTATCTCTTTCTGCTCAGAGATCCCACTATCAGCTCCTTTCTCAGTCTGAAATGCGGAGGTCAATGACATTTTGCACATTTCTTTTCTCCTGCTTTTTAATTGAATCTTCAGTAACATCTTTCAGCAATGGGTTTATAGGGCTGAGCCCTGAAAGGACATGGCTGTCAGTCCCTGCCACTGCATCCCAACATCAGAGAGACACGGTGGTCTTCCATGAGGAAAGTTCTTTCCCAGGATGCTGACTAGAGCAAAACTCGTCCACTGAGCTGAAATGTTGCTGCCTAGCATGAGTTGTGCGCTCTCTCTCTTAGGCACACACTTAAATGGTTTTAAAAGAAGGGAGCACTGACCAATGGGTAGAGAATAAGGCTGTCAGTGGCTACTAATCATGATGGCTGTATATGGCTTTCAGGATCAATACCAGCCGCTGGAGAACAGCATATGGAAGGGAACGTGGCCCCCAGTTCCTGCTCATGGATACCCCAAAAGCCTCTGCAGGAAACTGGTTGCAGGACCAGATGGGACTTTGGACCAACCTGGCAGCTCTCTTCTCATGTTTCTTGCAAGAGAGTGACCTGAAATTGGGCCATCCCCTAGAGGGAAGGGCAAGGTCCATGGTGAGGTTGGTTGAACAAAGCCTTCCCCTCTTTTCCTTAGCACCAGAGTGCCACACTTCAGGCCGGGGAGCAGTGGTTGCGTGTGCGGATCTGGCTTGCCTGGAGTCCCGTGCTGGCTCTCCCCAGACGCCCCGCTCTTCTGTGTCACTAGGTGTTTCCTGATTCTCTCCCTGCCCCCCTCCCACTGCCCGTTATTTGGTGTTTTCCCAACTTTTGCTAAATTCTTAAAGCATTGTTGCTGGCAATCCGCGTTTTAAGCTACTTTCTGCTGGTATTTTTGAATCTTTGGTCAGAACTTCGGAGCAACCATTGTAAAGCACAGTGCCAGGGGTGCAAACCTCAGGCTTCGGGCCCCAAACCACCCCTCTGGGTTTCTCCAGCCGCGTGTACCCCTCTCCTCTGGTCCCCTGCCTTTTGCTCCACCAGCTCTTTAGTGGTTTCCCAGCTTTTGCTAACCCCCTGCATCTGCTTGCAGCCAAAGAACCTTCCTTTCTGCTTAGGGGCGTCTCTCCTTTCCTTGCAGCTGCCCCTGATGCGTTTGTTCTGCTCCCTTCCTACAGCTCCTCATGGCTGCCTTCGCGGTCTCTGCCTATGCCTCCACCTACTACCGTGCCGGCAGCAAGCCATTCAACCCCGTGCTGGGGGAGACGTATGAGTGCGTGCGGCCAGACAAGGGCTTTCGCTTCATAAGTGAACAGGTAAGCAGCGAGCTGGTGAGTGCAGGGTGGATCAGCCAGCAGGTATCGCGAAGGGAGCCATCCTGTTTGGCAGCAACTCAAGACTTCTGGCTGTCAGCTCCATCCTTAAAGCAGTTCAGTCATGAGGAGGAGCTTGTTGCGTCTGAGCCAAGCAAAGGGAGGATAAGTCAGCTGGAACTTTCCCCATTGCCCCCTGCCCAAGCCAGCCATTTGCCCACAAAGGTGGGCACAAAGTCCATAAGCAAAAACCTGCTAATTCATCCTTCGTCCTGTTGTTATTTACTGCTCGGATGTGCCAGCTTCCCTCCAAGAAGCTCAAGGCAGCATGTGCAGCCCTCTCTCCCCAACACATCAACTTTGATCTTCCCAACAACCCTGCGAGGTAGGTTAATGCTGGGAAAGAGTGGCTGAGCCTAGCATCAGCCAGGATGCTTCACAGCAGAGGTGGAGGTTTGAACCAGGGTGGTGTAGTGATTGAGAGCATGGGACTGGGACTCAGATGATCTGGGTTCTAGTCCCCGCTCGGCCATTTTATTTATTTTATTTATTTATTAAAACATTTCTATGCCGCCCCTTGCTGAAGCCTCGGGGCAGCTCGCAGCATACAATAAAATACACAATAAATTAAAACAATAACAATTAAAATATATACATTAGAATAAAATAAGCCGCCCTGGCCAAATAAAATTCAATAGTATTAACATTTAAAATGCTGCTTACTGGGTGACTTTGGGCCAGTCACAGACTCTCAGCCCAACCTACCTCACAGGGTTGTTGTGGGGATAAGATGGAGGAGGAGACGTAAGCTGCCTTGAGCCCTTTGTAGGAAAAAGGCAGGATATAAACCGAAATAAATAATAAACCTGGCTCTCTCTGGTGCCTTGCGAACCACAGCACCCCACTGGATCCCCACAGGCCTGTTGAAGCCCACAGGTGCAGCATTTGAGTGCTCTTCTTCTCTCAAGGCAGCCACGGAGGAGCCTGGCCTGCGTGGAGGAGCCTGGCTCCCTGTCCAGGCCGCATCCTGTGTCTGGCCTCCCCTCCCCACAGTACGGAAAGGCAGCCTTTCTCGTATCCAGTCACCAGCAGAGAGAGGAGCCGTGGTCCCCTTTCTTTCTCAGCAGTAGACAATGTTTGCCCTTTCTCCCGTGTTAAGAGGGGTTTCTCCATGCAGACAGAGGCGGGAGCACTTGCTGTGTTCTCTGCACACAGAACTGCCCCAGTGGTGTCACTCAGCCCCTGAGAGGTGAACTGAAACCCCCTACCTACGAGACCTGCCTGCTTGTAAAGGTAACATTAGGGTTCTTGTCCCCCCGTCCCCCCCACAATTTGTGGCCCCTACAGGAACTTTGTCATGCTTTTATCCTATCCTTTCTCCAAAACGTTGCACCACCCCTGAATTTATCCTCACAGGAACCCTGCTAAGGAGGATGGGTTGAGAAGCTAGGTACATCTGCTGTACCTGGCACACCGGGTGGAGTCTGGCTGCTGGATCAAGCCAGGCAGCACTTGGAGTCTTTACTCAACCTAGCAAAAGATCTCAAACATAAGAGCATGTGAAGAACGGAATTCCTGTTGATTTCTAGGAAGCTGAAGTGGCCAGAAAGAGACGCTGCTTCTTTTCAAAGCTGCAGCCTCTTTCAAGGCACCGCCATCCTGGATAGGCTGGTGGCTGATTGTCTTCCTCCTGCCCCATCCCCTGTTGCAGGTGTGCCACCATCCTCCTATCTCCGCCTGCCATGCAGAGTCTGACAACTTCATTTTCTGGCAAGGTGAGGCTTCAAGGTAAAAGCAAAATCATGGCTGAAGAGGTGCGGGGGGTGGCCTGAAACCCTTCTAGGGAGATGGGTGTGCACACGCTTTGCTTCATGGGTCAAAAAGACCATTTCAGCTCCTTGCTGGAGTCCAGTCCCATAGCCCGTTTTCAGTTCTGCCCCAAACATAAAAAGAAGCCTGAGCAGGTGCAAAGTGCATTCTTTCTCCACAGAGCGAGTAAAACAGGCCTCTACATATGTTACATTTCTAAATTGGAAGGGGCAATTTCCAAGTTGCTGCATCTGTTTTGCATATTCATGTATCTTAACTAAATTAATAACAGTGCAGAAGCCTGCCTTTGATGCAGAACCGTCTGTGTTTTCTTCCCATCCCACACCCCCCAGCTTGCAAGTTTGATTTGCAATCCATGAGGTGCTGTAACCTGATTCCTTCTCTCACTTTTGCTCTCTGGATTTTGTTTCTTTAGATATGAAGTGGAAAAATAAATTCTGGGGCAAATCTCTAGAGATAATCCCTGTGGGGACTGTGAATGTCCAGCTTCCCAGGTGAGCTGCCAAACCCATTCCCTCCCCTTTGAATCCCGGTGGACCCTTTCTACCAGCTGCAAAGCCTGGGTCCCCTTCTTTGGTTCTCTTTCTCCCAACAAAGGTTTGGGGATCACTATGAGTGGAACAAGGTGACCTCCTGCATCCACAACATCCTGAGTGGCCAGCGCTGGATTGAGCATTATGGTGAGGTGCTGATCAGGAACACCAGAGACAGCACCTACCACTGCAAGCTCACTTTCTGCAAGGTGAGCTTAAGCTGGGCCTGCTCTGGCTGGTACCCTGCCTCACCCTTTGCTGTCTTTCTGTGCTTGCCCCACACTCTGGCACTTTCCCCCTGCCCTCTTTCCTCCAAACCCAACCCCTTGCACCTGAACTCGAACACAGAAAGCTACCCGAGACCTTTAGTCCAATCTAGCCCAGTAACACCTGCTCCAGGGGTGAAAAACCTTGGATCCAGGGGCCAATCCTGGGGTCCCCAGAGGGCCACATCCCTTTCCCCAACCAATCAGCCCTTTCTGGTCCTTTGCATAGTGTTTTCCCCCATTCCAAAAGTTTGAAGTGCTTGTCCTATGCCTTAGTTAGGTAGTAAAAACTATAACACTGAAACATGCTGGTAGTTTTGGCATTTTGACTCCATGTACGACTGGGGACAGCTGAGGATTTCTCAGAAATGGAATTTGGCCCTGGGCTGGAAGAGGGTCTGCACTGCTGGCCTCCCCTTTCAGCCAGGGTCTTCATTGGCCCAGGCACTGAGCCCCGTGCTTGACCACTGTGCAACTCCTCTGCCTGTGTCCCGGCCCCTGGTGCCTCCCCTTTCCTGCCCACCCCGCCGTGCTTTGTTGCCTGGTTTCCGCTGCCCGAGTCCGAGAACTCCGCCTTGCTCTTGCCCTCCAGCACCTTCATTCCACGCAGCTCTGTCCTCGTTGCATCCCTGCCGAGCCTTTCCTTTTCACCACCACCCCATGCTCTTCTTTGCAGATTCTTCGCCCGGTGTCACTTGCAATACGTAGCCACCCTGAAATCCACCACCCCAAGCCATTTTTGTTTGTTTGCTCCGCCAGCACCTGTTTGCCAAATCGATTCCTTCCCCTTTGCTCCACGTTTCTCCCTGTCCTCCCCCACGTTCCATCCCTCTTCTCCACCCACCCCGGCACATTCCTTCCATCTCTGTCTGCATCTCCCCCCATAATTCTGTGGAGCCGTCCTCCCTGCCCTAACCCCCCTCCCCTCTCTGGCAGGCGCGGTACTGGGGTTCCGGGGTCAACGAGGTGCAAGGCGCCATTCTCACCCATAGCGGCAAGGTTATCCACCGGCTCTTCGGGAAGTGGCACGATGGGTTGTATCGTGGTGTTGCCCCCGTCGGCAAGTGCATCTGGAGGCCCAGTAAGGAAACAATCGCGCTGAGGAGCGGGCAATGGGGAAGCTGCAGCCGCCTGTCCTCCTGCAGGGGACTGGAGAGGTCTCACCCCACCATGGTTGGATCTGCTCTAAAATTCTACGGATCTGTGATCTTCATGGGAACTAGTTACTTATCCCCACCTTACCTTTATTTAGATGTACTAGATGCCTTCTAGAGCAGATTCTGTAGGTGTCATGCAAACTCTCAAATCAAACAAAACATAAGACAATAAAATCAACATACAAATCCTTAAAACAACCCTAAGGCCCTGCACAAGAAACACAATTACTACCACAAAAACCAGAATACAACTCATGGGAACTAACTGACATGATTTTTTTTTCTTCTGGAATTTTAAAGCAAAGATCAAGCTTCTGGGTGGTATTGCGGAGTCCTGAAAGTACATGCAATATGTGTTTTTGTCTAAGGGTCTGCAAGGAATTCTGTGGCCAAGATGGGTTGTTGGTCTCTCTCTCACTGGAGGGATTAAGCAGAGGCTGGCCACCATCTATCAGGCACGCTGTTCTCACATCCTACATTGTAGGTCCTGAATAGAACAATGGGCTGAATTAGTTGACTTCCAAGATTTCTTCTGGCTCTAAAATTCTACAATAAATCCTTTTAGGGATCTGATTTTGGGTACCATTAAAGGTAGCAGCCTACTCTGACTCATGCTTGGGGCACTGGCACATTTTCTTTTTGAAGGGAAACTGTACAACCCCCCCCCCCCCCGCAGCCAGCAATTTACTGATGGTGTAATTTCTACGCACGAGAATTCTTATCTACCTGAATACTCTTCCATATGTTTGTGAATCTGCCTGTCTTGCCCTGAATTTCTTTGTCAAACATGGAGGCTGGTGGCTCCATTGCTAATGGCACTGTGTATCCATTCTGTGCTCCAAACTTTTAAGGAGCGATCCATGGTGGAAACCTGTTTTGGGGATAGGATTCAGCATCATGGACAGCTTCTTGGAAGTTCAGCCTAAAATCAAGAGTGGCTCCACAGTCGTGCTGATCGTTATGGATGGAGGTGATAGCATGGAGAACTGGGAAAGTGAGGAGAGCCTTGAGGGCCTGTAACCTTTCATCTGAGCGTTTCCACTTCCCTCAATGCCTTCCTCATTGTGAACTTCATAGAAGAATAGCACTGCCTCTCCCTGCTTGGAGGAGGCACCAGAGCCTTTATAACACTAGCAGGCATTGTCCTACTCCCCATCCTCCAACTTTTAACAACCGACAGATGCCGTGCTGAGGCCAGGGGAAAGCCTGCCTGACTTAGGAAGCCTAGAAGTAAATTTCAAGGATGAATGTGAGCAACAGATGAGCAACAAACCATCTGGAAATTTCTCCAAGGGATCGTGTGTGGCTTGGAGAACCAGGGGTGCATCATGCCACGGCTTGGGGCAAGCAGCAAATGAAAGCATCCGCTCAATTGACCATAGGCCACAAGCTTTGCAAAGCCTTGGCCACAGAATGGGGCACTGGTTCTTCTAGGGACCACCTTGCATTCCCTGGGCAAGGCTTTGTGATGTCAGCGGCCAGGCCCCATCCTCATCTCAGTCCTGTTTGCATGATGAGCAGTTGGCACAAATCACCATTCTTGGGATAACTGAGGGTGCTGGGTAGGACTGACCGCATCCTTTTCTCCCCAATGTTGATAGGTGGTCAGGGTGAGTGGGGTGCCATGTAACGGGTACCTGATGATTCTGACACATGCCTTTCTGTGTCCCCCTCTTCCAGACTCCATGCCTCGGGACTATGAGAAGAACTATGGCTTCACTCAGTTTGCCCTGGAGCTCAATGAATTAACGCCAGAGCTGAAGCGCCTCCTGCCTTCCACAGACACGCGGCTGAGACCTGACCAACGGTGAGGGCAAGGACGCAATGGAAGCATCTTTCCCTTTTGATTGATTAGTTTTTGTTCCACCTTTCTGCTGACCTAAGATACTAAAGACAGCTTCCAATTTTAACCACTACAGTATCTACGATCTCCATTATTAACAGATAAATAAAGGATACAGAACCAAACAGCATAAAAACTGACAATCCAACAGTACCATAAGCTTTCCTGCATAGCTCCACTGCCACTAACACCCAGTCAAAAAGCACACAGTGTGGGTAGAATGTATATGTGCATGGAAAACTAGCGCATTGAGCACGGTGTCTCTCCCTGCCCCTTCTCCAGGTACCTCGAAGAGGGAAATGTGCAGTCTGCAGAGTCCCAGAAACGCCGGATAGAACAGTTGCAGCGAGATCGGCGCCGGGTGATGGAGGATAACAATATTCTTCATCAGGCACGCTTTTTCCGGTACTTCCTTTCCTGTTTTCTGGTTTTTTGCTGCCTGCAAATGTGACTGCCTAGTTTTATCCCTCCCTTACTTTCTCCTTATTGTACTTTCTCCAAGAAACAGTGTGTTCTGATTGTTAGAGTGTTGGACTTAGAAGACCAGAGTTCAAATCAAGTTCAGTCAGTGAGCTGGCTGGGTGAACTTGGGCTCAAACTAACCTACCTCACAGGGCTGTTGTGAATGTAAAAGGGGAAGGACTGGGTTAAAGGGTCAGTTTTAAAGGCCTGATATCAAATAATAACCATATATTAAGAAATGGCCTAATAAAAATTTGGTATTCCATGTGGAAATATCTCTCCTCTGATGTCCCCAGTTGACACATATGGAAAATATTCAAGGAAAAATAACAATCCTATAACCCACCAAGATACGATTGATCAACAAGGATGAGTCAAATCTTGGTAACAGCTAAAAGATGAAGGGAAAAATATACAGTGGTTTGTTTATCACCAGCAGATTTCAAGACTGAAAGAGAAATACAATCAGGAGAAGGCTCTCCAAGCATTTTGAGAAATGAAAACTTGATTGTACAATGGAATGATCATCTAATGGGAAGGTTTTACAAACAGTGTGACACTGAAAACCAACAAGATAAGAAATGTATGACAATATGCTAGCAAAATCTTGGAGAAGAAATCCCACTTTCTCAATGAGAAGCTATATGAAAGAAAGATATTAAATTCACAGCTATAAATATAATGAATAAATGATACCTTTTTAAAAGCTTTCCTTGAGAATCTGGGCCTAATAGGTGAGGCATTTAAAAATTGTTTTAGTCCTTACAGCCACAGAAAGATGAGCTCTCAAGCACTAAGCAGTGCTTAGTGAGATCTCAAAAATTAGAGGATGCAGGACTCCAGTGATCTAGAGCATCTTTGTCAATTATCGAAGCAGATCAGATTATGCAAAATAAGAAAAGCAGGCAAACTTCCTTGGTTTGCATCGTATACATACAGGTTGCAGAATGTGAATAATGAAGTGACATATAGTCACTTCACCTTCTGGGGAATGGATCAGACTTTCTCAGCTTCTTTTTTAAACCTAACATAGATTTAAAATGATTCTCCCTGCCAATCCAATGCTGATTGGTTCCCTTTCTTTTTCCTGGCAGGCGGCTAATAGATGCCAATGGCAAGGAGTCCTGGGTAACCAACAGCAGCTACTGGAAACTGAGGGCAGAGCCCGGCTTCAGCAGCATGGACAGCGCTGTCTTGTGGTAGCTGCCAGCCTCTGCTGGAGCGGCTGCTGCCTTCTCTCGAAGTGGGGAGCAGACAATAAGGGTCCCCTGCAGCATAAGCACAAGGTGATTGAGGCATGCAATCCTGGAATTCCAGACCCTCGAGAAGGGGCGCCGGGGGGAGGGACGCGCATACATGGGAGACTCCCTTAGGTGTAACGCCATGCACTTCTGAAGCAACCCTCCCCTCGCACACATCCGGGAAAGGCCCCTGTGGTCCCGCTCGCCATCTTGCACTGCTGCCTGCTGGTTAGGCAGACTTTGTTGGGCCCCTGGACCGCTGCTGCCAGGAAGCACTTTAGCGTCACCTGGGCCAGAGTGGGGCAAACGAGACTGGATGCCCTGAAGTCACTTGAAGCAATGGAAGATGCGCTATTTTCAGACTCTGCCTTTTGCTCAAACAGCAGCAGCACATTTTCTTATTCAGTAAAGAACAACGCCGGCTTAGGAACATTTTGCGTTGTTCTAACTACCTGGTGGTGACCTTCTGGGGTGGCTGCCCTCTCTCTCTCACACACGCCCCTTTTTCAGTTGTCATAGTGCTTTCTGTTACAGGTACTTACATTCTCTCTCTGTCAAGCATCACCAGGTGGTAGCTGTTATGAGGGAAGGCTGGCTCAGGCTGGAAACCCTCTTGCTAGGAGCAGTTCAAATGTGAAGTTTTAGTTGCCTGCTGAGGGGCCCTTCTCTCCTCCTGTGGCAGCTGTTGCACTTGGGCATCAGTTTGGGTGACAGGCTCCCCCCTTCCCAGTGATAATTGGTGCCTGCCCATCTCAACGAAGCCAGGAGTACCTTGTAGAAGGTATGGGCCATTAGCGTTAAACCAGGACCCTGGGGGTGCTTTTTCCAGTCTTGTCTCTGATACTCCCTTCTCTCCCCATCTCTCCTGCCTCCCCACCACTTTTTCCTTCAGGACTTGAAGCAATAATTGGAAGGAATGAGGGGCAAATGCTAGCATGTGCCCCAGCAACTGCTAGCATGCAAGTGCGGTGCATTCAGATAGCTCGTTGTACCTTAGCATCAGGTTAGGGCTTGAGCATATGAAATAAAGAACTGTCTTGAGTACAGTATGTGTGAAGGCAGGAGGACAGAAGCAAAGGGTAAAATGGGTGATTTAGGAGGTGGGTGTATTGAGGAAGAAGGAAGAATGTGTGCATGTCTAGCCTATTTTGTTTCCATGAGGCAGACATCTGGGGGATTTGTTTTTGTGGCTACACCCAGAGGAGTGCATGAGGACTGGGTATCTGAATCCTATATGATGAGAAGGAAGAGGGGATTCTGCCTGTGACTGGCACAGGCCCACCCAAATGGTGGCCCACCAAGCCAAATGCTTGTTCTGTAGCCGGCCGGGTGCTTGACAGTCACAGGTTCCTTCGAGCCCCTGATGGCCCCCAAACATGGTTAGGGATTGTCTTAGTGGGCTGCAAGATGTTGCAGGCTCAGTCCAGAGCAGCGATACCAAACCATGGCCCTAGGAACTAAATGTGTCCTGCCTGGTGTGAAAATATTATCCTCTGGGACTCCTGAGATGGCCATGCTCCATTTCCTTCACCTCTTCCCCTTTTTGCCAACTGCCAAACATTTGGTGGTTTCTTGGCCTTTGTGCAGCTTTTTCCCCACTCTAAAAGGTTGACACACCTCCCCTAAGGTTCAGTTACTAGCAGTAAGCGCATTAGGGCCTAATCCAAGGCAGATGCATATAAGTCTCTAAACTCGTTCTATATACTCCGGACCACTCTTTGGCCATCTAGGTTTAGTACCAGGCACAGGGATGGAAGGAGACTGAGGCAGTGATAGGAATGTGGGTAAGGCGATGGCCCCAACTGCCCCTCCTCCAAGGCCCAGTTGCATCTTCAGAGCAGCAGCCAGGCTGTGGGTTAGGCCTTTAGAGTCCCTGCTCCAAGATGTTTAGAGCTAGGGATCTGTAAAATTCTACCCCTCTCCCTTTCAGGAAACCAAAATTTGCTCTAAAGTTAAAATTGATAGCATTTTGGCCTAACCCCTTTTGCTCTACCAGAGACAAATGTGTCGTCTTTCTTTCCCCCACCCACAACTCCACAAGAGCTTTTCCAAAGTGGAATTTTGTCTTCAGATTGAAAGAGGTCCTGGAGCTCTGGACAAGAGGTTATGTTTACACTTCAGTTCTTAATGTATATGCTTTTTTGCCTATTTCCACCCACCCAGATGTGGATAAGGATGCAGTGACTGCAAAATGCTACATTTGGTTATGATATGACAGAGTTCAGGAGCAAGTATGGAACCTGCATCATGCCAAACGCCCAGGACTTTGAAAAGTGCATCTCCTGCCATCCTGGCTGCTTCTCTACAACACCAGGTACCCTCCAGATGTTTTGGACTCCCATCCTCTAGCCATTGTGTGTGGGGGCCAATGGGAGTTGTGCTCCCAAACATCTGGAGGGCGCTAGACCAGAGAAAACTCCTCTCAGGCTCAGCGGGGAAAAATAATGCATGGTGCAGCTGCATTTTTGGAGTTTTCTGGGCTCCAGGTTTGGGAGCAAGGTTGCTTAATGACCACACAGCTTTATTCTTTCCTTCTTTAGGATCCAGGGGCCTGGTTCTTGTTACCACAGAGAGCCAAACTTTTGGCTGCCAGACTCCTGGCTTGAACGATAGAGAACACTGTGCCAGCCAACTCCCTTCTGCACCCTTCTCAGATTTCCTGGTTCACCGACTCAGCTGAATACTTAGGTGGACCTAAAGGGAGGGTGTCAGTAATTGAATGTCTCCAAAGCACCTGCGTTGTGGGTGGGCTGTGTTGTGCCGGAGGACCTTTTCGCAGGTCTGTGTCAGATGATTTGGGAACTCCATTCTGATTGTGACGGCGGTGAAGGGCCTGTCACGGTTTCTTTTGTGAGGTTGCACTGGGACACGAGACTCACTTTTGCTTTGTGGGGTTTGGCTTTGATCACTGTATTCCAACTACATGATAAAAGGAGTATGACAGTAACTTCACTGGAGGGGGAAAATGGTTAATTTCTCCCCACTGTGCTCCCTCTTGAAGATTCTGCTGCACACACCCAATAGGCATCCTGTCTGTCTATCTGTCTCTCTCTCTCTGTGTGCTGGGTGTCCAGCATCTTGTCTGCCCCCAAAAGCAGGTCAGCCTGTTCTCATCCACCCTGTCCGGCTGGTCCGGCACTGCTCCATCTTTTGCCTCTGTTCTGTCCTTGTGTTGTGGCTTGAACACTCCACAGTGGGTCCAATAAAAAAATTCAGAAAATTCAAGTGTATGGCAGCCATTTGTTCAGCGTTTCAGCCATGCAGTCATACCCAGCTAGTACAACCATTGGTCAAGAGTGATGGGAGTTGTAGTTCAACAGCAGATGAAAGACTCCAGATTCCCCAGTGCGCTTGGAAATGTCTAAAGTGTTCAACATACATTATTTTGCAATTTTTTACAGTAGGGAATGAAGAACCTAAGAGCTGACTGAAGTTCCTCCGATGGCTATGCTTTTGCATTGTTTCCTATCCTGAAAGGATCTAAGCCTCTCCTAAGGTTTAGTTACTGGCAGTAAGCTAAAATTGGCTGGTACATTCGGCCCTACTGTTTTCCCTCTGGCCTCCCTCATTGCCAAAAAGCGACTGCCCTCTCGGTGTCTCCGAAATGAATTTTTTTCAGTGCTTGGGCTGGAAGAGGTTCCTGAGTTCTGCCTTACAGCGACCCTACATGGGAGGCCTGGTTTACTAATTGAATACTAAAGTTGGAGGGCTGGAACCACCACCATGAATTTGTGGTTGCGGAAAGACTTAAACAGGGACTTCCTGATTTGACTGTGCACTGCAGCATGCCAGCTCTTGACTAGCATTTTGACAGAGGGGGTCTTTTGCTGCCGGCTCCCCCATCGAACGGCAACTGCAAGTCCTCCGCTTGCTGGGTTAATGCAAGAGGAAGAATTTGGCCCCAGCGGTGGTGATTTGCCGCTTGCTGGGTGAGCAGGTCCTGTTTCTTTCACCATGTTCCCTTGCAAGTATTTCCCCACCAGGCCCAGCTTGGTCACAAGGCACAAACTCGTAGCATTTGGTGGATCTGTTTGGGACAACCTCATAGTTTGGAATGGAGATGAGCATTAAGCCAGGAAGGGCTCTCAGTTCAGATGAGTGCAATGAGAAAGAGCTTCTCAGTTCAGGTTTGAGAAGCTCTTTCAAGATTCATAAAGAACAATATTTGGCATTTTTACCGTGGAGAAGGCCAGTGTGATTTGCAATATTGCAGATGGAGAAGAAACAGGTGGCTGGGCCATTTGGAGAGTCCCACAGCCAATGTCAGATTTGATCAAGGATTTCCTAATTTGCAGCCCAAACTCTGAAGTCACTCTATAGGCTAATAAGGAGACCGTGATGTGTGTTTGCTGACATTCTTCAAGGCCAGGCCTGGAATGGTGAAGGGATTAGGTATGCACCTGGATACCTAACCCCTTCCCGCTGCAGTTTTTGCAAGCAGCAGTATAAGGAACCAAGATGGAAAGCATGCTTGGACCTATAGGGTGGGTTCACACAATTAGCAAGCAACCTTGCTGGGTTACCACGGTTTGTGGGTTTTTACCATGATCTACAGCACAGCAAGAATGGTTAGAAAAAAACTATGGCTTGTGTTGTCGGAATCAGTGATAGAGGAAGCAGTGTCCTTGTTGCAGAGCTGGGCTTCTCATCTCACCATCTCTGACAACACTGATCACACCTCCAACTGTAGAGCTCAAACACGAACTCCAAGGCCAGCTTCTGCTGTCCCTACCTTCAGAGTCTCAAGGAGGGGCATGTTTGAATGTTCTCCAAAAATGAAAACAGCCTGCATGTTGACAAACCATCAGCGGGAAGCGTCCCCCTCACATGATAGTTTTTGGGTAAACATCTTTTAATTACTTTTTGAGCAGTACTCCAACCTGTGTGCTCCCATCAGTAGTTGAAATGGTACAGCAACTGATGCCAGTTTATCTCCTGCATGACACCTAGACTTATGTGAAATATGGTGGATGCTGAGATGAATGCAGCTTAAACGATGCCTTGCAATATATAACATACCTTGTTTCCAGACTCTGGTAGAAGATGTTCAAGAGGCGAGTGTGTTCAACATGTAACCTGATAAACCAGCTACTGTCCTAATGGAAGAGCTGGTATGATGGAAGACACCCACAAAAGATCAGCCTCAGGTCTGAGGCTCTGATAAGTGGAAGGACAGGACACAAAGGTTCACATGGTGACACTCACAACCACTTATAACTTGACAGTTTATTTTAAAGAAATTCGTAAGCCCAAACAAAAACTCACAGGGAGCCTGTACAACGTCCTCAATAAATATTTGCAATTGTCAAAGTTTTCCTTTATCTTGAAAAATAAAATTAAAAAAACAAAAACAAGACCTCAAACACCACAGAGACCATTGTGCCTTTTACACCTATGTGTTTTGTTTTTGTTTTAACAGCGTAAACAGAGAGAGAGAGAGAGAGAGAGAGAGAGAGAGAGAGAGAGAGAGAGAGAGAGAGAGAGAGGAAGTTAAATCAGATTCCCACCTTCCCCCAAAGTGGCTCAGCAGAGGTTGCAGAGTCACGGAGAACACACAGAAGGGGAAAGTGTCCTTTTTGATTGTCTAGCATAATTAAATTCACTTTGCCAAATGACCATCAAGTCTTTCCAGGATCAGGGTTTATAAAATACCAAAATAGGGGTGGGGTTAGGGGAGAGAAGCAGGCCGTTCTCTAAGGGAAGAGGCTAAAGTATAAAAATACAACCTGTGTCTTTCCCCCTCCTTGTACATAAAACTAATTATCGGCATAGGGTTTATAAATGACCGCTTTGGGCCAATCCACTGGGCTGTCCTCTTAAGATGAACCCATTGAAATGAATGGAGCACCCATTTCTTCCAATGGGACAGGCATAGGAGAATGCCTCAGGGGGTTGCCCCCTTCTTCTGCTTGACTATCTGCCCAAGTCGGCGTGTTCTCGGCTGTATGCGTGGCAAAGTGCTGATGTGAACACGGCAAAACTAACCCAACGGCTTGCTGTACTGGGAAACCCCTGTGGTTCTGGTTCTGGTTCAGAGGCTGCAGCATACAATATAAGGGATTTTGTCCCCTTACCTCTCCCTTTCACCTTCTCAGAGCACTTTTTTCATCAGCCTGGTTGCATATGCCTGAATCTGGATCCCATAGTTGACTTCATGCTTGGAGGCATCCCCAATATGTCACATATCACCCCATGCCACTCATGGCAGTAAAAGCAGGGAGGCCATCTAGGAATGGCAGATCTGTTCACGCAATTTGCTAGGCTGAAATAAGAATCCCCAGGATGGGCTTCCACCTCTGATTTGTTCGCTTGCTAGAAGGGGTTCTTCAGCAGCTGAAGTGAGCAAGAAGGAAATCGGCCCATGTGCCCTGTCAATTTCAGGGGCTCCTCCTTCAGTTTTCTGCCACAAACCAGATAGCTTGTTACTTCAAAGTTGGCAGTTATCCATAAAGGGCCCCAGAACATTATTAAGGAAGCACGGCTACAGTGCGTTATTTCTGGTTGAAGCTGAGCAAGTTGCTAACTTCAGATAACAATTATTTAGCCATCTAGAAAAGATGATACTTAGACCTGACTTTAGAATGAGGATAGGGCTGAACATCTGAATATGCATTCAGGTGCCCAGGTGCCCTACTTTACATATGGCAGTCTTCTATTTGAAAGCCAGTCTATTCCAAAGCTCCTTGAAAAATACAGAACCATTAAAAGAGAGAGTAGAAGGGGCATCGGGACAATAGACTGAACAGACATACCAGTCAGACTTCTGCACTTACTGTGTATTGTATTTCTATTTAAATTATAAGTTCTCCTTTTCAAATCTGTAGGTGCACATGTAAGTAGCATAAGTACATTTGAAGCAGACCCAGAATCTCTTTTGTCTCGTTCGCGCGCGCATGAGTGTGTGTGTGTGTGTGTGTGTGTGTGTGTGTGTGTGTGTG